TTGTAGTCCATCTCTTTCTATTTTGTCAATTCTTACACTTTATCTTTTTCTTTCTTTCTTTTTTTAAATAACAGCCTCAGTGAGATAAAATTCTCATAGTAGAAAATCATCCTTTGAAAGTATATAACTCAGTGGTTTGGGATATATTTACAAAATTGTGCAGTTATCATGTATTATCTTTTTTTTATTAACATATAATGTATTATCATGTATTTATCTTTTAACTGGAGCACTTATTTAAGAAGAATTTCATAGCATTATGTCTGAAAGTATTTCTTTTGTCTTCATACATTACTCTTAGTTTGTTGGGGGGTTAAGACTTATTAAGTTATATAAACCTTTCCATTTCCATTATATTTCCATATATATTTCTTCATTCAGTGTTGCAGATGAGAATTCTGATGCCAAATTAGAAATGATGTCAGTCTCATGGTCTTTATTTGTTATTATTATTTTTTAAATGGTCTTTATTTTATAAATTTCATTTTATAAAATCTGAGAGGTCATAAGATTTTCCTTTTATCTTTGGATTTGAGAAATGTCAGCAATTTTTTCACAAATCTTGCGTAGCACTTGGTAGCCTTTTTAATTTGAAGACATAGATTCAATGAAGAATTTTTCTATCTTTGATTTTTGCTCCTCTAGTGGTTATATTTTCTTCTATTTCACCATTTTGATTTTCTGTACTAATCAAACTAGTATTTATTAAAAAAAAATTTTTTTTAAAGATTTTATTTATTTGAGAGAGAGAGAATGAGAGACAGAGAGCACGAGAGGGAAGAGGGCAGAGGGAGAAGCAGACCCCCTGCTGAGCAGGGAGCCCAATGTGGGACTCGATCCCAGAACTCCAGGATCATGACCTGAGCCGAAGGCAGTCGCTTAATCAACTGAGCCACCCAGGCACCCTATTTAAAAAAATTTTTAAAGATTTTATTTATTTGAGAGAGAGAGAGAAGAGTGAGAGGGTACAAGCAGGGGGAGCAGCAGGCAGAGGGAGAAGCAGGCTCCCCACTGAGTAGGGAGCCTAATGAGAGGCTCGATCCCAGGACCCTGGGATTGTGACCTGAGCTGAAGGCAGATGCTTAACTGACTGAGCCACCCAGGGGCCCCTAATCAAACGGTTATTATATCCTCTTTCTGCAATCATACAGAATTCAGTAGAAATTTAGTTTTTTTAAGAGCTGATCTCAGATACAGAGTAACAATGGCTTAAAAACAAGAAAAAGAGGGTTTTGCGAGGAGAGATGGAAAATACTAGGAGTTAGGGTAGTTTTGGGTTTGTAGGTAGTTTTATTTTTATTTTTTTATTATGTTAATCACCATACATTACATCATTAGTTTTTGATGTAGTGTTCCATGTTTCATTATTTGTGTATAACACCCAGTGCTCCATTGTAGTTTTAGACACATTCCAGTTTTTTTTTTTTTTTTTTTTTTTTTTTTTTTAAAGATTTTATTTATTTGAGAGAGAGAGAATGAGAGACAGAGAGCATGAGAGGGAGGAGGGTCAGAGGGAGAAGCAGACTCCCTGCCGAGCAGGGAGCCCGATGCGGGACTCGATCCCGGGACTCCAGGATCATGACCTGAGCCGAAGGCAGTCGCTTAACCAACTGAGCCACCCAGGCGCCCAGACACATTCCAGTTTTAAGTATGAACTCACATTTAAGCTTGTGTTTGCGTAGCCTCATCTGTAAAGAGGGAAAAACATTACAATCTTTATGGTACAGTTACATGCATTAGATTATCACAATTTATTGAAAAAATAACCAGGTGTTTTACTGACATACTCTTATTTATTCTTTATTAACAACACAAGAGGTAGGCTTATCATGATTCTAGATTATATAGATGAGGATGTTGTGGCTTCTGTGTGTTAAGTGCCTGACCCAACATTCCCTAGCTAATTAGAATTAAAGCAGGGGTTTAAATAAAAATCTGAAACCAGGGGCACCGGAGTGGTTCGGTCTTTAGGCGTTTGCCTTCGGCTCAGGTCATGATCCCAGGGTCCTGGGATCGAGCCCCGCATTGGGCTCCCTGCTCGGCGGGAAGCCTGCTTCTCCCTCTCACACTCCCCCTGCTTGTGTTCCCTCTCTTGCTGTGTCTCTCTCTGTCAAATAATAAAATCTTTAAAAAAAAAAAAATCTGAAACCATCCCTCTCAGCCCACTTGAAATATTTAAATAATCTAAATAATTATTCAATTGAATTCAACTGCTATTTGAATGGATTTGATTGATGCCATCATTTTTCAAAACTTAAAATCTATTCATGCTACACACTCACTTAAAATATAGTACACTGACTTATTCACACAGTAAGATCTGGATCCACAAATAAGGCCAAACAAGACCAAATTTAAAGGTTAGAAAACTGGAATTCAGGGGCACCTGGCTGGCTAAGACGGTAGAGTATGCAGCTCTTGATCTTGGGGTAGTGAGTTCAAACCCCCCTTTAGGTGTAGAGATTACTAAAAGTAAATAAACTTAAAAAAAAAAAAAGAAAACGAGTTCATTTATTAGCCTCAGTAGTTCTGTGAATGAAATGCAAATATGATGTATGTGTTTTTCTCTGGGATTCTACTGCTTTTATAAAGTGGTAGGTGATCCAAATTGGTTAAAAATCATAAGTCTGGATGGAGGTTCCTCAAAAAATTAAATATAGAATTACCATATGACCAGTAATTCCATTACTGGGTATTTACTCAAAGAAAATGAAAACACTAATTAGAAAAGATCTATGCACTCCTGAGTTTTTTTTTATGCACCCTTATGTTTATTGCAGCATTATTTACAATAGCCACGATATGGACGCAACTCAGCTGTCCATCGATAGATGAATGGATAAAGAAGGTGTGGTATATACGTACAATGGAATATTATCCATAAAAATGATTGAAATTTTGCCATTTGCAACACCACGGATGGACCTAGAGGCTATATAATGCTAAGTGAAATAAGTCAGAGAAGGACAAATACCATATGATTTCACTCATATGTGGAATTTAAGAAACAAAACAAATGAACAAAGAAAAATAGAGATAAACAAAAAAACAGAATCTTAAATACAGAGAACAAACTGATGGTTGCCAGAGGAAAGGAGGTGGGGGCGATGGGTGAAATAGATAAAGGGGATTAAGAGTACATTTATCTTGATGAGCATGGAGAAGTGTATAGAATTGTTGAATCATTATATTGTACACCTGAAACTAATCATGTATGTTCATTATACTTCAATAAAAAAACCATAGGTCTGTTATCTGTCTTCTCTAAAACTCCAATCATATGAAAAGTAAATTACTAGATAAGGAAAGGTGAGTCACAAATGTGAGCCACATCTATACAAAATTTTCTCATAGCCACATTAAAAAGTTAAACAGGTGGTGTTAATTTTAATTATATGTATTATATGCCCCATGTATTGAAAATAACATTTCCATATACAGTCAATGTAAAAAATTACATATAATATTTTATGTTCTTTATTGTGTCCTAAGTCTTTAAAATCCGGTGGGTATTTTACACTTCTAGCGCCTCTCAGTTTGGATTAGCCACGTTACAGGTGCCGTGTGGCTCTTGGCTACCGTAGTGGACAGCGTGGGCAAACCTTATGTCAGTTGGAAAACTTTAAATGTTGTAGAAGAGTACACTGAAATAACACCTCACATAATTGCCCCAAATGATACCAATGAATTAAGTCCAAGTCTTGTCCTAGCCTAAAAATAAAGTGATTTGTAACTTACTATATTTTGGATAGTAAATGACAATACATGTTAAGCACTTAGGGGAGTACTTAGCTTACAATGGATGCTCCATAAATATTAACAACCATGATTTAAAACATAATTACTTTTTTTCCCATTTAACAAGCGATATTTTTTTATTTCTAAGATTTCTTTTTCATTCCCAGGGAGAACCTTATTTAAAAAGGGCAGGCTAGTTTGTGCCAACATAGATGAACCTGGAGGGCATTATGCTAAGTGAAATAACCCAGAGAAAGACAAATATGAGTGGTAACACTTATATGTGGAATAAAGAAAAAAACAACAAACTCATAGAAACAAGGTAGAATGGTGGTTGCCAGCAGCTGGGTGGGAGAAATGGGGAGAGGTGGGTCAGAGGATACATCCAAACTTCCAGTTGGAAGATGAGCAAGTTCTGATGATCTCATGTATAGCATGGTGACTAGAGTTAACAATACTGTATTGTATACTTGAAATTCCTGTGAGTAGATCTTTAGCATTCTCACCAAAAGAAAAAAAAAGGTAAAATAAAGTATGTGAGTTGATGGATGTGTTAATTATAAAATGGTTGCCATAATTAAGTTAATGTATGCACATATCACATTGTATACTTTAAATATACTACAATTGTATTTGTCAATTTTACCTCAGTAAAGCAGGAAAAAAATTCCATGTCACAATTAAAAAAAAAATTAATAACGAAAGAAAAAGGGCAGGGTCTTCCTTCCTTCCTTCCTTTTTTTTGATATATTATCCTCCTACCTCTTCCAGAGAATAAAGAAAAAATTTAAGGTTTTATTCCCACTCCCCTTTATTTTATTGGGGGTTATTTGCTCTGAATGGTCCCCTGGCCCACTTTTTTGAGTGGCTAATCCATTTCATATGTCTGGTTATTATTCATGGTCTACTAATATTTATAAATGAAAGAATTGTTCAGTATGGGGTAACTGATGTGGTCACTGCCTGCAATTATGTGGGCTAATGTTTATTTTTTCCTCATTGATACCCCCCAGGCATGTGTAGAGAGGTGATAGGTTGGTGGTTTGATTCTTTGTCTGACTTCTCTTTTAAATATGTTGGATGAGAGCTGTCTACCTTTGGGCCTCTTGGCTGCCCTGTAGAATGAGGTGGGTGCATGTGGGTGGTTACTGTTCAGTGTGGGTGGCAAGGGTTCAATTATTTAAAAATGGTTGGTTTAAGTACCTGATTAGATATTCACTTTATATCTATAGCATTTAACATGTTGTTATATTTCTTTACAGGAATACACATGGCTTGATAAAAGCCATTATGAAATTATTACAAATGCAAGCTCTTAAGGAAGGACAAGGTGGGGAGAAGAATATTCGGAATTTATATACTATTAGGTATGCCGTTTCTCCTTTAAAAAATTTGTGTGTGTGTGTGTGAATTGTTAACTAAGTTATGAACAGATACACTAATCGATTAAGAATTATTTAATTCAACAGTGATGTTGGGTCTTAGACCTCTCAGGAAGTTAGTATTTCAAAGACATAGAAGATGGAGATAGATTTGAAAACGTGCTGATATCACCATTGTGGGTTTCACGGTTGCTTCCTTGGAATTGGAATCTGTTCCCCAAAATTCTTTCTGCTCTGGGATATCTATAACCATCTTCCCAATACTATGAAAACTGAAAAGTTGATTGAGCAGATGTACTGAAAGCAGGAGGGGTTTAGGTAAGGTAGGAGGGTACTATAAAAAGTAATAGGCTATTTAAGGGTTAATACTCAGGGCAAGGTTAGTAGGTAGGAGCACTGATTTGCCTTTTCTTTGTCATCTATATAATGTAACATGGTAGAATTATGTTAAAAAAAATACACATAGCAACAATTATAGTGAAATACATTGGATTTTATTGAGGAGTTTGGACAAGGGAAGGCATCGTACTTACTTGTAAAGTTGGCCCTAACATTGCCTTGAAGGTCCCAGAAAGCCATTTCTTAAGAGAGGGGCTCCTAATTCGTGAGCAGAGTGTCCCAGAAGATGCCACGTAACTAGTGTATGTTGTAGAGTCCTGGGATCGAGTCCCGCATTGGGCTCCCTGCTCAGTGGGGAGTCTGCTTCTCCCTCTGCTGCTCCCCCTGCTTGTGTGCTCTCGCTGTGTCTCTCTCTCTCTCTCTCTTTCAAATAAATGAATAAAGATTTTATTCATTTTAAGGGTGGGAGGGGCAGAGGGAGAGGGAGAAGCAGAGTCCCCCATAAGCAGGAAGCCCAGTGTGGGGCTTGATCCCAGGACGCTGGGATCATGACCTGAGCTGAAGGCAGACGCTTAACTGACAGAGCCACCCAGGTGCCCCTATTTATGATCTTTTTTATTGAGTTTAAGCCAATTTTTTAATAAGGGCAGATTTTCATTTTATGTATTTTTTTTCTTAACATGTTTTTTTGAATATTTTCAAACATACAGAAAATTTGGAAGAATGTAGGATAATGAATTAGTTAATCATTAATTTATTAATTCATAAGTTAATTTATTTTTAAATTTGAGAAGCAAAAGGAAAATTATTTTTTTGAAAATACCCTGGAAACCTGGGGTGTGTAAACTCTTCCAAAATGATAAATATGCTTTTATTTCTTTTTTTTTTCTTACATACTGTGGTGCTCTATGACCTAACAGGGTTTTCATTTCAGGTTTCTCTTTTATCCATTACCTTAACCAGAATTGAACCTAAGAAGATGATGAGTAGATCTTAGTATTTCTAGATGAGTCATATAAATATCTGTTTTTTTTTTTTAAAGAATTTCAAACTCTTGGGCCAGAATTCCAGGATAGAAGATAATTCCAGGGGCGCCTGGGTGGCTAAGTCGGTTAAGTGTCCGACTCTTCGTTTCAGCTCAGGTCATGATCTCAGAGTCCTGAGATCGAGCTCCACGTAGAACTCAGCTCAGTATGGAGTTTGCTTAAGATTCTCTCCCCAAACTCTTCCCCTCCCCTTGCTCTTGTTCACTCTTTCTTTCTAAAAATAGATAAATAAAATCTTAAAGAAAAGAGAGAGAAAATAATTCCATTTTATTATTGTTCAGTGGGAGTTATTTATTTTAAAATAGGAAAGCCATTAAAGTTTTAAATTTTTATATAAGTTTTATCGAGATATTCACATACCACAGAATCAACCCATTTAAAGTATACAACTCAGTGTTTGGTTTTTGGTTTTTTTTGGTATATTCACAGAATTACACAGCCATTGCCATTATTAATTTTAGGACATTTTCACATCTCCCTGAATTCCTCACCCATTAGCAGTCACTCCATATTTCCGTCCTCCCAGTGGGGTATTTTTAATTCAATGGTTCGCAACACTGGCTGCTTATTAGAACCACCTGGGTGTGCTTAAAAACAAGCATAGGAACAATCAAATAACCCAGATCAACTGCATCAGAATCTCTGCTGTAAGGCCTCGGCATTTGTATTTCTTAAAAGATCCCAAGTGATTCTGATACAAGATGGAATGTCAGCTGCCCTAATGTGCATACTAATCTCCTGGGACCTTGTTGAACACAAGATTCTCTTTCTTTAGGCTGAGGGTGGGCTCAGGATTCTCGAGTAACAAGCTCCCAGGTGATGCTGACCCTTCTCTCCCCCACACTATGGGTAGTGGAGCTCCGCCTCGCCGTCAGCAGTACCTGGGAGCCTCTTGGAGAGTGGGGTCTCCTACTCCATCTCACACTACCTGTATCCGCACCCGCGTTCCAGTTAGATTTTGCAGGTAATCCATAGGCACCTTAACGTTTTAAGAAGCTCTGGTTTAGATGATGGTAAAAGGAAATTTCCTGCCAACAGAAGGGTTAGAGTTACTCTCCCTTTCCCACCGATTGTCCTTACCGTGTGTGAGTGCCGGACCTTCAGTCGTCCGTCACACTTCACCTGTTTCCCTGCTTTATAATTCATTTTCTCCACTGGTTGGTTCTTCAAAAGACAGTGGGTGCAAGGTGTGAATAGGGAACCCAGCTTGAGGAGCTGAAAGCATGCTGGATACGTAAGTCGCGTCTTTAGAGCGGCGGCGCATCGAGAGGTCCAGAATCAATCACCTGAGTTGGCATAATCCAGTAATGTTTATGGAGAGCCCTTATGTGAATGGCTGTGTGGCACTAAATCAGGAGAGTGTAATCGAGTGTATAAGAGCCTTCAGTTCCTCCAGGGGGGACTGTGGAGGGCGGGAATGCAGGAGAGGTGAGCCTGAAGAGCAGACACCCCTCAAGAGAGCTATGATTACCTGAGTCAAGCATAAAATTGCCCTGCTGTTTTAGAGCTTTCTATGCCACATGTTGGTTAGCAGTATCCTCCAGCTTTGGAGAGGCGACTGATGAGCTGCGTACGAAAGCACAAAAGGGTTGTGAGAAACGCAGAACTCCACTGAGAGGTGTTCCCTGGTTATGCTGGCAAATTAATTTCAGATGGAAGTGGTAGGACAGATAATTGGAAGCTTTCTGCGAATGAAACTCATCTGTGTGTTTTTTTTTAAAGATTTTATTTATTTATTTGACAGACAGAGACACAGTGAGAGAGGGAACACAAGCAGGGGGAGTGGGAGAGGGAGAAGCAGGCTTCCCGCCGAGCAGGGAGCTTGATGCGGGGCTCGATCCCAGGACTCTGAGATCACGACCTGAGCCGAAGCAGACGCCCAACAACTGAGCCCCCCAGGCACCCCTCATCTGTGTTTTTTACGGTATTGAGGACTCAGCTAGTGTACAGTTTTGGAGTTTGCGCATTTTTCACTTCTTCTTGTCCTAATAGCCGATTAATTTGAATTCTAGTACAACGGAATACGTGGTTGTTTTAAATAGGTTGGTGCTGAATTTGCTTACGCCAGTATGGAAGTGAAGGGAGGGGGCTGTGAGGACCAGAAATGTGAGCCAGTGGCTTCCCCTGGTTCCTGTGAATTTCATGGAAGGCGCTCTAGAGAGGGTATTCTCTTTGTTGAACCTAGAGCTCAGTGGTTCTCAAACTTTCTATGCCAAAGAAGTGCCTGGGGAGCTTGTTAACAGTGCAGCATTTCAAGCCCTTGCTGGAGATTCTTACGCAGTTGGTTTTGCACGAGACTTAGGAAGCAGCATGTTTACCCAGCTGCTCAGTGATCTGGATATAGGTCATTTGTGGTTCACAATTGAGAAATACTGCTTGAGGCCGTGGGAGCTTAAAGGTACCACATAGAAGCAGCAAGGAGCCCCTTGGGGATACACCAGGGGGGATACTGAGTTGCTTAATCCTGTCTCCTGGCCTCTGCTCCCTATTGGGGGGCAAAAAGCCTGTTTCCTCCTAAGCGCCAAGGCACCGAGTTCATCAAACCACGTCTACCATGGACAATAGAGAGGCCAAGATTAGAACCAAAGAGCATTTCTAAAGGAAAAGCAGACTAGTGAGGGCAAGCCAAGTACAAATGCAAGAGAGCATGTAAGAGATTTAAACCTCATTGCTCTATTCTTCTGTGGCCCCAGCAAGTGAGTGTTCTTCATGGTCAGATGGTAGATGCTTGTTTGGAGCAGGAGGAGAAGAGAGCCCTCAGCAACTCTCTTAAAAAAGCAACACTGGTTTTCAGTGTTTACCGTGCAGCAGGAGCTCACGCTCCGAGTTTTTGTTATGTATGTGTGGAACATGACCGGAAACCTGCATTTTAACAAAATTTAGATGCATAGGTAGTCTACTGACCTTGCTTTGAGATATAGTAGACTAGAGGGTGTATGGCTAATGAAGTTCATTTTGCTTAGTTGGACCCTTCTTTAGTTTGGTGACTTAAGATTAAATGGGGATGTTTAAATGTGGTTTCAGCTCTGATGATTTTTAGGACAGGGTTAGCTGGAAGAACACAGCACATTTATACTTAGCATATGTTATGTGTGAAACTCTAGGTGCATGAATCTCGACTCTGGTTGCAGAATAAAGCCTTTGAGGAGCTTTTATTTTATTATTATTTTTTAAAGATTTTATTTATTTGAGAGAGAGAGTACAGGGGGTTTGAAGGAGAAGCAGACTCCCCACTGATCAGGAAGCCCCACAGGGGGCTCGATCCCAGGACCCTGGGATCATGACCTGAGCTGAAGGCAGACACTTAACGACTGAGCCACCCAGGTGCCTTGAGGGGCTTTTAAATGTACAGGTGCCTGGGCTTTCCCTAGAAGGACTGGAGGGTGTGCCTCAGGCACTGGTTTTTCAAAGCTTCCTAGATGGTTTCCAGTCTGCTGGTAGCGGGGAGAACTGCTGGCCAATTGTTGAAACGAGGCAATAGGGGTTCATTGTTGCGAGACCTTCAGATCTTTCAGGATTAATAACATTTTATATGAAATCTCCTGACCACCGAATGCTGGAAGACAATTCAGATTTTTAAAATACAGGGTAGGCAGACAAAACACATCTGATCCAAGGGCAACAGCTTTGTGACCCCTGTTTTAGGCATTTAACAGTTTTCAAAATCTTAGAAGCTCTTTTCTACCTGTGAGCAATTTTTATAATAATTGCCTTTTTTAAAAGTTTGTTTATTTTTTGTAATCTCTATACACCCAATGTGGGTCTTGAACTCATGACCCCAAGATCAAGCGCGCTCTATCGACTGAGCCAACCAGGCACCCCCCCCCCATCCTGCCTTTTAAAAACTGCTACTAATGTATCCTTTAGTTTAGGCTTATCTTTCTTCTCCCCCTTTTGTTTGGTCCGGATTTTTTTTTTTTTTAAGATTTTATTTTTTGACAGACTGTGAGAAAGGGAACACAAGCAGGGGGAGTGGGAGAGGGAGAAGCAGGCTTCCCACGGAGCAGGGAGCCCGATGCGGGGCTCGATCCCAGGACCCTGGGATCATGACCTGAGCCGAAGGCAGACGCTTAATGACTGAGCCACCCAGGAGCCCATGGTCCGGATTTTCTATTGGTTACCTTGAACTCCATTTTTCTGTAACACTTATATTTAAGTTACTTAAACATTCTTGAATATTGACCACAGAGGAAGTGCAGCAGAGAACGGATCTGCGGTGCGTATTTCAGTTGTGAGGAAGAATAACTAAACTTAAGTTTTTACGATTCATAAATTATTGAGGCTCATTTTCTTAGTTGCTTTGTAATATGCCATCCCCCCCGCCCCCGGAAATTTTATCATAAGCTCTGCCTTTCGTTTTTTCCTCTGCATATTCATATTATGGCAATCTTTTCAAGATCTCTCTTCCTTTTGCTGAAGTGAGGAAGTAGCTGTGAATTCATGAGCGGTGACTGCTTGTTCCAGAATTCATGCACCATTCTGATGTGCCAGACAGTGGCTGACATGCACACATAGCAAATGTTAAGAATCTCATTTGTGGAAAGGTTTGGTCTGATCCACATCAAGCTGTACTTTCTGAAATTAGGGAATATTAAATGCTTTTGGCAGATGGTGTGCTCTGAATGGGTGATGGGGCCAAGGGTAACGGAGGGTTATACCCTGAGCGGATTAGTTATGCACCCTCTATATGTATTCGTTCATCTCTTTGGACAGTGTTAGGTAGTTTATTTAGATAGTTGATTTTTTTTTTTAAGATTTTATTTATTCATTTGACAGAGAGAGAGCACAAGCAGGGGGAGCAGCAGAGGGAGAAGGAGAAGCAGGCCTCCCCGCCAAGCAGGGAGCTGGATGTGGGGCTCCATCCCAGGACTCCGGGATCATGACCCAAGCCAAAGGCAGACAGCCACCTGACTGAACCACCCAGGCGTCCTAGAGACTTAATGTTAAGAACGTAAAGATGTGTGTCCTGAAGGCTGAAGTACTTTGTAATTCATACTGATCTTTTTCACTTTGTTCTTTTTTTTTTTTTTTTTAAAGATTTTATTTATTCATTCATGAGAGACAGAGAGAGAGAGAGAGAGAGAGGCAGAGGGAGAAGCAGGCTCCCAAGGAGCAGAGAGCCCGATGCGGGACTCGATCCCAGGACCCTGGGATCATGACCTGAGCCGAAGGCAGACGCTTAACCATCTGAGCCACCCAGGCGCCCTTCACTTTGTTCTTAAGGCAAACACATTCATCCCTTAGTTCTATTACATAGAAAAACAAGAGAGTCCCAGGAGAAGGACTGACACGCAGTGCACTAAGACCAGTTTGTGGCTGTGGACATCAAAACGTAGCCCCAGTTTTAATTTTGATAACTAGCTTTTCCTCAGCATTAAACTCCTTCTGCATTTTCTCTTCTGCCCATTTTGAAGAATGAGATGGAGTCAACCATGGGAAGAGCACAGGAAGGGTGTGGAGATTGAGGTGGAAACAGGTGCCTCCGTGCTGGAGTAAGAGCGAGCTGGTGCATAGGAGCAAGGCACAGGAGGCCCAGTGGCTGGAGCTCAGTTTCAGGGAGGGGGAGGCTGGGATGGAGGCCCAGGAGAGGGAGCATGGCCCAGAATACACAAGGCCGTGGCAAAGACTTTGGGTTTTAGTTAAAGAGTAGTGGGGAGTTTTGAAGGTCTGTCTTTTTAACTTATTATTTGGAAATAATTTCAAGGTTCCAGAAAGATTGTGCAAATAGTACAAAAGACCTCCCGTATATCATTTACCTTGATTCATGAGTTTAATACTTTGCCACATTTGCTTTATCATTCTGTCTATTCGGTATAATTCTTAAAAAACATTTGTGAGTAGATTATATGTATTCAATAGTGTGTATTTTCTAAGAATAAGGGTATTCTCATATAATCAGAGAACAGTTATCATACTGAGAAAATTTAACATCAATATAGCAATCTATAGTCCATATTCCAGTTT